TACAGTTACCCCATAGTGCCCCAACACTCACCCACGTGGGTTTCACCCGGGAGTACTTCTCGTTGCGTCGTATATGTGATGGCGTTCGAAGCCGCTTGAGTGCGTGATCGGGTTGCTGTGGCACATTCACGGGACCATTGAATTCGTCTTGTATGGCATGCCACTCCAAACTATCTGCCAACCCTTCATCAGTAGCAGCACTAGTACTATGTCCATTTAGCGCTCGACGTAAAGATGGACGAAGGGAAAACGAATCAAAATGGCGAATTCCGATTGTCTGGTTCCAAAACCGAAGTCTCCACTATCGATCCGAAAGTGAACGTTTATCACAAGTGCAATTACAATGGAGTAGGTTACACTTCAATCACAAACTTTCCAACTGTCAATAAACTTGGCACTTCCAGCCCTGTTACAAAAAGTTTGGCATCACCATCCCGGACAATTTCATAACACAGGGATCCAATCCACAGAAGACGTACGATATCGGAACGATCAATCTTGCCAACAAATTTACCGGTGAAACAACCGATTGTTTAAATTGATTTCGCGTTGTTTTCGGATATTCGGTGTATGTATATTGTATGGTTTGTATATTTCATATGAGGAACTGAAATGAAAATATGGCTGCCAAAATCTTTTTGAACCAAAGAACCACATTCATAAGATAGATGTTCAAAGAACTGGCAAACAGTTATTCACAGATTTTGTAATTTCCACATTCGAAAAACCTCCTTTCGACAAGCCTGGATTGACATTTTTTGCCCAAATGGCTCTTTCGGAATAGAACCGTTTTTAAATTCGAGATTCGATTTGTCATCTCCAACGTACAGGTTTTCCAGAAACTCGTTTCTGGAACGAAGTGGTGATTCTGACAATGAATCACCTGGTCATAAACACAGGGAATTATGACGTATCCAGTTGTGTAATCATCTACTACAAGCATCTTCATAAATCAAAACTTTTTTATGGAAGTTGTTATGTCACCTGGTCCTTAACAAAGGCTGGAACATGGGGGCAAAATGAGAAGACTTTGGATATGATTCCTTTATGCTATAATTCAGGATTTAGAGAGAGAGTTCGTAGCTTACGCTTGTTATACCAATAGTATCACTTAGTACGACCACTTAGCATAATTTTTTTCCTTGCATTACAATCCCTTCTCGGTTTATCTTGAAGGTAATTGACCCTTGAGGTCACTTTCCTTTCGTTTGATCGCTTTTTCAAGAATGCTGCTGTCCAAAAAAAATTCTGTGTAACGTCCTCCTTACTTAAAGGCACGATAAGAAAAACTCGTAAGATTTCACCCTAGGATAAACCTGTGACCCTGAAGATATTGCAAGAGACGAAGTTGTCTCGAAAAGCGGCCTAGATGGGCTGTAGTAATAGCTTCAATCGCGGCCTAGCCGACGTATACACCCAAAGGCGGACGAGTTTTCACGGCGTTGTGAAGGATGTACAGGTTGCACGATTCTCGTCAGGGCGCACATGTTGTACGCAGGCAGCCTTGTGTGGACAGCTGCAAGCAATTGCACACACATTTGCGCAGCTCGTCAAAATACACTCCTTCAAGACAAATTTTGACACCACACCCTCTTACAACTCCTGATTTTGCACCTTCTTTGAAGCTTTATTTTTCATTATTGTTCTTCTATACTGGATATCCCGAAATTACTGTGAACCGTGCCTTTAAAAATGATAATATCACCAATGTTCAAGCTCCAGAAATAAAAAAAATGATGAGCTCACCACGCTATTAATTTATAATGCTTGCTTCTTCTGAAACAAATGCACCAACTTCTAATTGGATGAAGGGCTGTAAAAAAACGTTTCGTTTTGAGCATTACAGTGTTCTCAGCCATATAAATGGGTGAACGACCCTTCAGTCAGGAAAGCTCAAAAGAAAATGAAGTTTGTTGTCATTTCATGCGTTCCATGCAAACGCTCGTTGCTCTGTGTACTCTTCAGATCTACTCGAGCATAGTACCACTGTGGTTAATGTTCAGCAGGAAGCTGGCAAAGGCTTACGGAGTCTAGTACTTCAGAAACGATTTCTTTGTTTCCAACACTTCGGGAAAACAGACTCTATTCATCGCAACGATTAGATGTGCTCTTTGAAACTTCTTCCCAAGCAGCGCAAATATTATTTTGCCTCGCTCCTTTGCACTCTCCGGTCTGTGTATCTACTGATAGCATCACGAATAGAACAAACAGGGTGATTCACAACATACAATGAGCACCCTGAAGACCACAATTTTTATGGGAAACCGTTCATAAATCGCAAGACANGAAAGTATTGCAATTGTCGCTTTTCACAGTTTGGATCCCTCCGCAAGAAAGTTGGTCGTACGGAAACTTTTGAAAAAATTTTAGTGTTGGCTTGGAGCCACGAGCGACTACGTTACTATCATTTCATCTTAATATTCTCTACTGAATCAGAAGAGAAAAGAGTTTGGGGTTCAAGTCGTTATGAAGGCGACACTGACTAGGTTTCTGTTCGTGAACGACGCGAACGCCATAAGCTAGAACTACTCGATCACTTGTTGAGAGGCTTTGGATCAACAAGGCAAATCACATTTGTAGAGAGGTTGCAGTCGAAAATAAATGTGCTCCCTTATCAAGTAAGAAGCAATTCAGAAACTGAAGAGTACTTCCCCACTCAAGGGGACGAGTAACTCTGGTTCGAATTCCGCTGTAATGTAAGATCTGGACAGTTTGGTTGGACGACCATCATTACTTTGTCGAGAGAGCTCTCCGGCAGAATAAGCGGTTATTCATGGAACTGATGACTAATGGACTGAAAGGCGTAGCTTCCAACAATGTTGAGACGCTTTGTACTTCTAAAGACGTATAAATAGACCTATTCAGAGTGTTAAGAAGTACGATTCTTCAGACTTCCATTCTCGGTCGCAGCGTCCCGGGAGACGGTCGGTAGGAACAATTTTGTGTAAACGATTCGACGCACGCGGCTGTCGCGGACCATTCGTTCTCCGTTATTAGAGCTTTAGCGTTCTTCATACAGCTCAATCGATATGCGATCACTTTTTCAGGCATGATTCTATTGCTATTTCTTTCGTTCCTATATTTCTTACCTGCTGCTCCATTCTGCTATATTCTTTCGCGCGCGGAGTCCCTCTTGCCGCGACGCGACAATTTCGTTCCTACTGCACCACGCGCCCTCTCCCCTCCTTGTAGGATTACCGTTTTGGTAGAGCTGTTAGGACAAAGATAAACTAGCAGCAAAGAAATCGAACCTTATGACATATCCATCAAAAGGTTCGTTGGTCATCGTTGGTCACAAAAACAAAAATTAGGTTTTCTCTGGAAAAAGTATAGCCTTTTTGAGATTTTTTAGTGGAATTTATTGGGAATTGTTAGCAAAAACGTAACGTGTAATATCAGAAACCTAACCTGTGGCCGAGACTAGAAAGTAAATAAAGCGGCATAACAATATGAAAGAATTTCCGCATTGTTGACTTTCTGGTAGCGAGTATATAAGCCACGGAGAGCACGAGGTTCACCGGAAAAAAACATTTCACCATCCATTTCTTTTTTGTTGCCCAACTGCCGCGAGGTTAATCTTTGAACTGTTCCGTGATCCTTCGAACTTTCTTTTCCTATGCCATAATTCAGATGTTGGCTGTAATGCTTATCAGTTTTACAGTATTTCACACCACTGGGAATGTTGTTTCAGATGCAACTCCTCCTACTACTCTGTTTTGCGGCCCCATCGTTGGCCCTGCTTGGTATCGGATCGACCCAGTCGGTAGCAGTTAGTGGTCGACTGATCTGTAACGGACAACCAGCCGCTAACGTCAAAGTCAAACTCTACGAGAAGGAAACCAGTTAGTACGTTATGAATATCGCTCATGAGTGGATGGTTTCTGATCAGGTAATTTAGCATTTGATGTGAAGATGGCTGAGGGCGTCACGAACCAAAACGGTGAATTCCGGCTGTCCGGTTCAAAAACTGAGATCTCTACCATTGATCCAAAAGTGAACATCTACCACAAATGTAATTACAATGGAGTGAGTTCACTAAGTTTGGCGGACGTTCGGATTCAAATCTTGCAAATTTTTACATTTCAGTTATGTTACCGAAAGGTCGGCATCACAATCCCGGACAACTACGTAACTCGGGGAGCAAATCCTCAGAGAGTTTTTGACATCGGAACTATCAATCTTGCCAACCGATTCACTGGTGAAACGACCGATTGTATCAATTAATTGTACATATGTATACTATGCTTGTAAATTAAAACTATTCTTACACTAGTTTATGTAAGGAAGTGGATTGAGACGAGAGCTAGTCAAGTGCAGCGGTTAGGCTGTCTTAAAGGCACAGCTCACAATGAAAGTGGTTTCTGAGATTTTCCTATAGTATGAATTCAGGGCTCCCCTTATACCTTACCTGTCGCTATAAGGGTCAAAAAACGCCCTGGATAGGGCACAATAAGGAACCAGGAAGACCACACCCCTAGTGTACGAGTTTCAACGGCTTTGCAGAGGCTGCACCATCCATAAGCAAACCAACGTAGGAAGTTCAAACAACTTGTCATGACTCATAGTGACAGTAAAAGACAATTCTGGACGGACGGCTCTTTGCACGATGGGAGCAGGATAAATCTCGTCCAAAATCCCCTTACACGCCATTCCCATAGCGGTGATCTCGTACAACCTCCACTTCCACTACTTTTAACAAGTTGAACTATTACACGCCATTCCCATAGCGGTGATCTCGTACAACCTCCACTTCCACTATTTTCAACAAGTTGAACTAAGCGGATTTCCTCGCTTTCTTCGCTACCGATGTACTCTACATCAACACTTCCGCTTTTCCGCAACAGTAACTTCCTGCTTGTTACTTTCTCGCTCCAGATTTTTTTGTGCTTCACGATTACTCAGTAAGGAAGCCAGCTCATTGAGAAGAATATCGAGGCGATCTATAGACTCGCAGGAAACCATATACCAACTGATACCGTTTGCTCCATAGAGAACACTTGGTTACCGTAGCCTTATAGACAGCGTAATTTGTCGCGAGCATATTTGCGTGAGCAGCGCTATTTTCTAGTAAAGTGAGTTCGCGAGTTCAACCTTCATGACTAATGTGTGACTAAGCGTTTACATATGCGTCACTCCCCAGTGTTCAATCGTTGGCTCCTGTTCACTGATTTAGAGTGTTTGTTTAATACGCAATGATATTTGCGGATACTTTTCGGCACAGGCTAGGATTAGAGAATGATTAGAGCACAAAGAATAGTTTGACACCACTTCATGGTACATATGTCAACGACTGCCAGTCTGGAAATCATGCATTCAGTGAGGAGTTTTCAGAATGTTTTTTGTTTCATTTGCATGACGGAACGAAAAAACAAAAGCCAGATTCCAGGATGTTTTTCAAAAAAATCCTGAAGAAATCAAGAGGACGCCGCGTAATCTGATGACATTGCGCAGTGTTTTGGAGTCTAGCCTCAGTGAAAGTAGACTACGTAGGAGTCCAACTGGTTTGATAGGGACGAAAGAACTGTCTCAAGTTTGGAATTAAGGCAAATCCATCAAATTCATTTTGGTGTAAGGAAGCACATTAGATTGAGATTACAACAGGGGGAAAGGTATTTCTTCATCGATCAGCCATCACGATATTCAACAAGGTAGCTGGACGGAGGCCTGAAAGCTGATACCTCATCAGGAATTTTGAAGAGCTTCAACGAGTTCTGTATGCATGAACTGTACCATATGCAACCACTATGTCCCTTTGAAGGCTCCTTGTTTACTTTTTTTTTCATAGACGGAGAAACGTGGAATCATGAAAATCATGGAATTGAGAGCTCTTATGAGCAGTGCATGATCACCCATCTTGTGGATCATCGAATATAAAAACGAGGGATTGCGGAGTCGCAGATTTTGTTTGGTTCTTGCTGACAATGCAATTTGCTGTGTTTCTTCTTCCACATGGTGCTGATACTTTCAGAAACGCTTAACCAACAAAAATGTCGCCTTTAGATGTATATTGAAGATATGTATTTGGCCTTTCACATTGCTGTAGAACACGTTTACCAGAGGCAGTATCTTTAGAAAGGTACAAAAAGCGCAACAGTTTTATTGTCAATTTATGCAATCAATAGACTCTCCCTTGAATTTATTTGCGAGATTGATCGTGCCGATGTCGTAAGTAGCTCGTGGTAAAGCTCCATCCGAAACGAAGTTGTCCGGGATGGTAATGCTGAGCTTTTTGTAGCAAAACTGAAAATTTAATAAATATTTTGGAAACAATGGTCCATATTTAGAAATCCAAAGCTACATCTTGCACCAGGCCTATGATAAAAAATGAAATATAGTAAGAGGAACTATTTGGATTATTGCTTTTTGTAAACTTCTAACATTCTACTGGTTGTCGGAAATGTCGTTGTTATTATAGGAGATACTTCCAGGACACAACAGATACAATGAGCTAGATGTTCAAAAGTTCGATCAAAGATGAAGATAAACATAAGAAATTGTGGAACTCACTCCATTGTAGTTGCATTTGTGATAGATGTTCACTTTCGGATCAATAGTCGTTATTTCCCTCTTGTGTCCGGACACTCTGAATTCTCCGTTCCTATTTGTTCGAACTTCGTCCAACTTGCTATCGAATACTGAAAATTTGTAACAGTGATTGTGTTACGAGTGAACTCCTCCAAGTAAATGTGCTCTATTCTCGACTGCAGAACGACTGCACACAACGGGAACTCACACAGTTCCTTGTCGTACAGTTTCACTTTGACATCACCAGCTGGTCTTCCTTCACAGATAAGTCGACCGGTGACGGCTACTGATTGCTCTCTCCCAATGATGCCGAGAAGGGCAGTACATGACGGAATAAGTGCGAATATTAGCAAGAATTCCGGCCTCATAATGCCTTAACGATAGGTTACAATCACCCGATGTGCTATTGCTTCAAGCTGAGCGCAATAGAGCAGTTACTATGAGCCGAAAGCTTCTGTTTATAAGGTAACAGCAGCTTATAACAAAAATTTTCCCTCGTAATCCCTCCCAAAAATCCCTCCTACAGGACCGCAATAACTATCCAACGTGCATCCTGCAATACCGGCCCATCTCCAGCTGCTTTTCCGAGCGAATTGTTCATAGATGAGATTCATTTAAGATAGATCAAGTTTCGACACATTTGATTTGGGTTTCTAGTAGTATTCCTTTCTGACTTTTAGTTGTAAGCTTCTATTCCAAAATCAATTTTTTGTTGCTGGACACGACTAGATGATTAATGCTTCCTTAGGAGCACAGCAACTGAAGAGTAACTCGTCCTGCAATTCAGGTCCCCCATGAAAAGGAACAATCGTGGCCAAGCCCGAAAAGTATCATAGTGGGCATGAAGTGAGATACATAGTTCCACGTGGCCATGGTTCCTCGACGACTCTAATGTCTTTGCCAGTGCACGATCATCGTCGTCGTTGCTCGGCGATCGTCCGAAGTTCCTCCTGACGCAGATTCAGCTTGAAGGTCATCATTTTACCCGTTGAGCAGAGAATGATGAGGCAACAGGCGTTGGTTAGGCTCGGAGACTGTCACTTAGAGTGCGTGAAGGTACCAGAAGAGATTCGCATGACAGATAGTTGAGCAAACATTCACTAAATTGTTCTTTTATGAGAAAACCTTCGAGAGCACAGGAGTTTTGTTATGAGTTTAGGGTGCTTACTGGTAAACGAACACCAGGAAGGCGGTCAATGCGATATTCAGACTTATTTCTGAAAACTCTGCATGGGAGGAATGCTATGCATCGTGTCCCTCTGCTAGACCATTCTTGCTCGCTACAGGGATGAATGGATACGTTACTGGCGCGTGCTCGAGGATATCGATAAATATCGGGACGACGTAACGGGACGGTCATACAAATCAGAGGGCCAACACGTAATGAACCTTCGACACTCAAAAAATAGAAAGCAACGCAACAGGAACCATGTAGGGCCGTTAAACTAATACTACTGGAGAGAATGCTTTTGTAAAAGTGCAAGAAATTGTAGAAAAAAAGCTGACGATTGTCGGTCAATGTTGATCGACAGCCGTGCTTACCCGTGCAAGATTCGTCGCTTTCCCTTCCTGACCGATAGAATTTTCAAGAATTTTTAGAAATCTCTAAATTTTTAAGACCAGTTATTTTTTTTTTGAAGCACCCATGATCCGAAGATGACAGTTATGTCTACGATCACATGAATTCGGCATCCAAATTCATTTCGGATACTCCGAAATATTAGGGTAACTTGGAAATACAAAGTAAGATAAATAGAAACGGGATGCAAAAGACGACGTGCTCAACAACGGCAGCATTTTCAGATCCACTTCTTGCTAGGAAAGAAATGCATGAATGTGGATTAATCCCGAACGATGCTTTCAGTTTTTGTATTGTCAGGTAGGTACCGAACGGTCTGGTGGACGCTAGAGACTGGAATTGATGTGGAGTATGGTGCTCAGTGTCAGAGTAATCATGATGACGGATCAGTAATTTGAACAGTCATTGTTCAACTCTCATAAAAATTGGGGTTTGACAAAATAATACCTCTTTTTAGTAGTATAGTTAAAATGGTTCCGAGCTATGCAGTTAGACCTGCAGTGGTGTCGCCGACTGATGGCTAATTCGAACAAGGCACTTAGTTCAGCTACGCCATGAGATGGTCATAGAACTTCAAAAGTAGGTATGCCTTTTAGCTAGGAAGCCTTTCAATAAAAGATGAAGTGGAAATCTTGGTGTGCAGCAGCGGAGGGGCTGTACTACTGACAATGACACGAAATATCGTCGAATGGTATGTCTTATGACGAATTGGCAAACTGTAAATATTTAAACTTTTCCGCCTTCCCTCAATCGTACACTGTTCTTTTGAGCACAAAAACTTACACCTATTCATCCTAAGAAGAACCAGTTTTTGAAAATTTGTTTTCTGCTGCCTGACTCAGGAACGCAAACTGTAGTCATAAAGAGCAGTAGCGCTTCATAGCCGAATCTTTTCTGTCCTTACAGAAAGCTAACATTGTGACAATAGCGGACAGACGTTACCTCCTGGTAATTGCTATACTTAAAAGCATTTCTGGAAGTATCATTTGTCTTGGAAGAACAAAAACTCATGCGAATTACGTCATCCTCGACAAACCCTCGAGCCAAATCGTTCTATGAGTTGCAGATGTGCGGTAACCGCTTCTTCAACTGTTTTTTCCTTGTCCGCCTGGGCTTCCTAAATTTCGTGAATGTTTTTGTTGCGCTTTTTGCTTTCTCGCATTTAAAACTGTTTGACTTTTGGCAGATTCCCTTACTGAAGGATTTCGAGTCGGATCATGGCGATGTTCGCGACTAGGGGAATGTAGGGAAATGGAGACAGAGCGTATGCTCCACTTTTCTGTTCTGCGGAATGGATACAGAGCGTATGCTCCACTTTTCTGTTCTGCGGAGTGGGTAGGTCGAGCGGACAGGAAGTCTCCATGTGCTTGCCCTGGCGAGTAAGTCCATTTAGTGCATGAACTTCCCGATCTTGCTGAGCTGATTCCATTTTTAGGTTTCCAACCAACCCAAACTAGAGTTTTAGACAACACTTTTTCCAGTTATCATTGGAAGACTGATTTGCATCTAACGCGCTACCTTGGTAGTCAAGCTTTGAGACAGCTTTGGGATCGTTGTTCTATATGAGAAAGCTGACATAAACGATACCAGCTGTCCGAAATAATGTAAAATAAAAATCTTGCTGCGAAGATGTCGGGAGCTTTTTCCGACTTGGTAGAGCAAAGCTAAGTGCTGTCTCTTGCCGGGGGACGGTACGAACGTGCGTCCGAGGATGCGCGCGGCAAATTGCGCGGCGAAGTTCGTGACGATTTGTACGACTGCGGCACCGATTTTCGGGGCACAAACTCGAAGTAGTGTNNNGTATTACTCAACCTCGTGTTCTGTTTAGGAGAATAAAGCATCGGGATCACTGTGCTTTATGAGAAAGGTGACATAAACGATACCAGCAGTCGGAAATAATGTCAAATAAAAATCTTGCTGCGAGGATGTCGGGAGCTTTTTCCAACTTGGTCGAGCAAAGCTAAGGGTTGTATCTTGCCTGTTCTTCTGGTTTTACGACACACTGCAGAATGCCGATGAGTAATCTGTGAGTATTGTGAAGTTTTCTTTTCTCATTGCTTAGTCTAGATGTGATCTTTAGCAGGTTTACTGCCTCATTGCTGCTGATGACTAATTCCTGAATAAACTTATGTACATAGAACGATGGGCCACCCGCGTCACTCTCCGATACTTCATCATTGACCCAGTCCACTGAGGCAGAGTTCATGTTTAACCTATGATGAGTTATCTATCTAGGCAGATCGTATAATTGACGAGAGAATTGATCAACAATTGGATTTTTTAAGTTGTCCGGTAATGGCTTTCGATGACATTGAAACCTTTTTTGAAGCCATAATCACTTTTCCCATTAACGGAAACCAGTAAAAGATATAATTATTGGAGCAAGATGGGAAAATAGGCGTATTTCATGATTTGTATTGTTGTTTCACTTTTTTCCCTTCTGGCAATAATTGCGTGCCTGGAACGATTCTTTCACCTTCCAGGTCAATGGAACGCTTTGTATGCAATGAACAACTGGATAGACATACAAAAAGCAAGTATATTAAAAAGACAAAAAACTTGTTCAATAAATCGCTCTCACCATTGTAGAGGATTCCTGAAGGTACCACAGGGGGAACAGATAAAACTAGGCGAAGTTACTGTAGAAGCAGGATCGATGCTGGGCTTAGCTACTTGGCCATGCTGGAGTAGGACAAAGTGGAAAAGAAAAGGTTAAAAAAGAATCACTGCAGTTTCCACGGAATTATTCATGAGAATAAATAGCAAAATAAAAATAATTTCACTGATATGCATCTGTTGGATTGATATCGACGAAGAAAATGGTCTCCTTCGCAACGGAAACCGACATTGGTTGGGAAGATTTGGTAACTTTTCACGAACTCCGGAGTTGTACACGGGATTCTCTGACTGGGTTCTTTGACCGTCGCGTGTTCGGAACGAGGTGCTGATGCACAAACGGACTGCACTTCTGTACGGGTGTAATTCGCACTTATAAAGGTATTCTTCGGAGTTTTTTAAACCTCAAACGTACAGGGTAGCTACCTGTTTTGCAAGGTAATTTGTACTTATAGGCCTGGTATTTAGGTATTGTATGGCCAATCTATGTGTGACTGAATACATATTTTTTAGTGAAAGGTAATTATACTTGTCTGAGTCGCTAGCCTGAAATGTACATAGCTGTGCCCTCTTGCAATGAACCAAGGAATCTATGCACTGCTACCGAATTAATCCCTACTCTTCCAATCGTATGTACGGGAGGGAGTACCTCTGAGAAGTCATGGAAGTTTGTGTTGGGAAGCGAATAGTTAGAAAGCCAGAAGTTACAAATTTAACAGATTTATTGTTAATTTATACAATCAGTGGTCTCTCCCTTGAACTGATCAGCGAGATTGATAGTGCCGATGTCAAACGTTTTAGTCGGTTTTTCTCCATCCGTGATGAAATTTTCCGGGATACTAATACTGAACTTCCTGTCGCAAATCTGAAATT